CAAAGAAGAAAGGTATATGTACCAAAGACAATTTTTTAACATGACAGGAGAAGAGTAAGATCTTTATGAACAGGAATTTAAAGCTGGGTTGCTAAATCCACATTTAGTCAGCAGACCTGGTTTATAAATATTCCAAGCATCCTCATCATCAAACACCATTTGGGTTTCAAGGGTGTCCAGCAGAGTTGAAAATAAGGCCACTAATTTTAGAGCCTAAATAGAATTCAAATTATATAACACTAGGACACTGTTTTGAAAATGTCAGAATCTTGCTCAGAAGTTCTTTGGTTCCACTAGCTTTGCTGGGCAAAATCGTCTGTAAGTACAGATGAACCAGATTTGACCAGATGTCCATCTATCCCACAATCACTATTAGTACTAAGAGTTTCAGGAAAAACTAGGAGTGTGGTATGTACCAAAGGACACTTTTCTCATCATACTCTTCTAGATCCCAGCAACATGTGATGCACTTAGAAAGATTATTTGTACATGGTACTAGGATAAGCACTTAGTACAAAACTAGTACATTAGTACATTAATTCAAACAGAAAAAGCAGTAATCTTACGTCATTCAAACAATGTGTGCTGGAAACAAAAGTTTAAAAACCATTGTTTCAAAAAGAGAATTTCAACTGAATGCAAAGGCTTACAGTTCTCAGGAGGGTAAAATAAACATCAGCACATGTGCTCTGAAGAAGTAGAAAGCGGCTAAGCAGTTTCTAATACCACAGAAACACAAGGAATTGGTGTGACTGTGAAAAAGCTAAAATAGTTAAACACTGCAAGAAAAGTCAAAGTCTCAAGGGCAGGCTCAGGTGGCACTAAAAGTTAGAGTTTCTGTATTTGAAATAATGTTTTTCCTCAGGGAATGAAAAAGAACAAGGAATTCAGAGTCTCTTCAGGTTCTGAAAAAAAGAATTGTGAGAAGAGATATCTGAGTACTAGGATTTCAAATGGGATCAACAAAACTGGATTGGGAGTGAACTGATTTGAAGAGCCCAAACAACCAGCGAGTACACAGAATACCCTACTTTTCATCTGAAATCTTTCCTTCAGCTCTGTTAATGTGCAACTGCTGGCTCATATGAGAGCATCTGCAAATGTGAAATGCTTCCAACATTTAAACGCCAATGGGGCCAACAATTCCTCAGGGAAGTACCATATCACCAACAGTATCAAAAGATAGTGCTACTTTTAATCTGATTTTAACCTCTTAGTTCTCTGAGTGCATAAATGATATGCACCTTTCAATGCAGTGTATGGTCAAGGATCTCTTCCATGAACAACTTAATTACAATCTCTAGGGCCTTGTAGTCTGACACACTTCCCTATTCCTTTTACTCCAATTCACTCTCTTCTGCTAGTGAAAGAACTTAAAATTAGATAACTAACTGCTGTTACATGTTCATGAGATTCTCAACATTCTAGAGAAGGCATTGAATCTCAGGCTTTTAAGCTACTTAAATTTGGCACACAATGCTTTTAATTTCTGTACAGTTCAATGTAATATCACCAACAAAGAAGTGCAGAACACATCATGCTTTTACTAGCATGAATTTAGGAGAAACTATACAGAATCACTTAAATTAAAATAGTGTAAAATTAAAGTGTGCAAAACTAAACCCTCCATCTTCAAAGATCTATAGGAAGCAAGAGGAAATTATTTTTATATTTCCTCTATAAATATATTTCCATACAGAAGTCCATAGAAAATTTAAAAACAAGGAAGATATTAACAGAAAACACAAGTACAATGAATATGCTTTCAACTATGGCTTTGCTCATAATGCATCTGTCAGATGTATTATGTCAGATATCAAGAGAAATACAGCTGACCCACAGTAGCTGCCACTGAAAGAGGCAGTTCAAAACACCTAATTAGATAATTCTGTGCAAGAACTATCATAATTTCATACCACAATCTAATGTGTTTGGGAAACATCTCTCCCAAATAAGAAGAAGCATTTTGAGATGCGAAAAACACGGTAAGTATAACTAAAGGAGGAACAAAGAAAAGTACCAAATGCTGCAAAACCCCAATACTTCAGGTAATTACTAAAATTTATGTCTGTTTCCTATCCTGGTAGACAGGAGTCCAATTAGATTTCTCATAACAACAGCTTCTATGTGCTGGCATGCAGTATTATGTTTGTACTGCTACAGATAGACTAGAAGATAAAAAAATAAACACTATAGCAGCCTTTTTAACCCAAGGTAATAGCTAACTTTTTTTTTTTTGCATGGGTTTTGACATGGATTTGCACACAGCTTATTGTTAGCTTAAGCAATTTAGGCAATTATCATTGCATGCATAGGAATTAACCATTTAAGTTGCTATATACACAGAAGCTTCTATTGGAGAAATCACATACAACAAGAACAAATAAGCTATTATGAGTCACTTAACAATCTTCTGCCCAAATACAACTTGACATTTAAACATCTTAAATTAGTTCTTACATTAGTTAAATTTTTAAAAATTTGTATGTGTTTGGCTTGATGCACTGTTAAATACAGGCAGTGGAAGTGCATCAGGAAGTATGCACACCCCTTCTTTCATCCTTATTTTCAATAATATCAATTGCTTGGAACTGACAGTGGTTAGATGAAGCATAGGGGAATAAAAGCACAGCTTCTTCTCATGTCCTTCACAAATAAAACACAATTATAGTGTTCTGAACACGTAGTCTGGACTCAGATAATGACAGATGGTTTTGCAACAATTCCCTGCAGGTACCTTTTTCCTATAAATTCTGGGAAAGGTACATGCAGAGAAGGCATTGAAAATTTCCCATAGAGAAATAGCCTATCAACAACTAAATCATAAAGATTTCTCCTACTGTACTGTGCTGTAATTTTGGCCCAGACATCACTGTCTGCTTTCTCTTTCATTTTGAACTATTTGTGTGTCTTGCCTTTCAGGATTCCACAGATCCCTGCTCTTATCTCACAGCTAAGTCAAATGGCTGGATTCTTTCCCAATTATAGCAAGGCCCTGTGCCAACCCTTTAGTACCATGCCTTTGAAGTCACAGAAGACTGCTGAGGAGCAGCAAATTTCATATGGCTTAAAGAATATGGCGCACAGTACCACACTGCACTTCAAATCAAACCACCAGGCAAAGAATGGAGAACCTGTGGTAGGAGCACAAACCAACTTGATGCCTTCATTGAGTGAAGAACTATCATTGAAAACTCAGTAACCAGCAAAAGGGATCTAGAAAGCAGCGAGCCCTATATGACAGAGAAGGGCGACTGAATGCTAAAATTTGACATTTTCTAGATCTAGATGAAATATAAAAAGCAAGCAAATGTCTACTAAAACCTATACAATATTGTAAATGTGCCAACATAATTTTTGACTTTTAACCCAAAAGAGGATTGCAAGAGGAAAGATATAGGAAAAAAAGTCTACAGCTTGAAAGGGCCAGTCCAATCAGCTAAAGGTTATAAGACTGGTTAAAGTCACCAGGAATTTGGTGACTTCAACCAGTCTGGTTAAAGTCACCAGGATTTAGTTTCACCATGGGACCCGCTTTGTGAAACCTGGCCTGCTGACGGGGTCCATTGGTCAGACAAGGTAAGAGCATCTTCAGTCCTAGGTTTGCCAGGTTGGAGAAGGTAGCTTTAAACTAAAGTTGCTGGGGAAGGGGAACTTCAATCCACCCCACTGATATGATGCACAGAGCCTGGAGAGAGATCACAGGTCAGCACAAGGGCACCTGAAGAGCACCACGAAAGAATTTCATCCAATAAGTCAGTTTCCTCAAGGGCCCAACTTAAAAGCCTCCATGCTAATGCATGCAGCATGGGGAACAAACATGGCCTGCAAGGCCATGATCTTATTGGCATCAGTGAAGTTCCCAGTGACTGGAAAAGGAAATACAACCCCCATTTTTAGAAAGGTACAAAAGGATGACCTGGGGAACTACAGGCCAGCCAGTCTCTACTCAAGGTCCAGAAAAGCATGGAGCAGATCCTTCTGGAAACTATGCCAAGGCACATCAAAGACAAAGAGGTGATTGGTGACAGCCAATGTGGCTGTACTACTGACAAATCATGCCTGAGAAGTTTGGTGGCTTTCTAAGATGGGGTTACAACAGTGGTGGACAAGGGAAAAGAAACTGATGTCATCTACTTGAATGAAAAGAATTGGACACTGTCCTGCACAATATCTTTGTCCCTAAAATGGAGACATTTTATGGAAGGACCACTCAGGAAGGATAAGGAATTGGTTGGATGGTCACACTCAAAAGGGTTGCAGTGAATGACTCATTGTCCAAGAGGAGAATAGTGAGGAGTGGTATCCTCAGGGGTCAGTAATGGGACTGGCCCTGTTCAGTATATTTTTAACAGACACAGACAATGCGATCAAATGCACACAGCCAGTTTGCTGATGACACCAATCTGAGTGGTACAGTCAAATCTCTGGAGAGAACAGATGCCATTCAGAGGTACCTGGATGGGCTTGGTACCTGGACGGGCTTGAAAACCTTCACAGGCTTGAAAACCCTCACAATTCCATGAAAACTTGATAGCATAATCCCTACTATTTGCCCTCTGCTTCTGAAGATAAGTGTTTGACTAGAAACCCACACTTTGGAAATGCTTGTGAAGAAACCCTAGATTTGGACTTCAACATACTACTATTCTGTCAAAATATAAGGCTAAAATCAATGCCAAAAGAAAACAAGACAATGACATCAAGTATTTAGATCAAAAGAACAAACTAAAGAACTTCAGTTTGACAAATGTAAAAATTTACACCCACATTTCTAATAAGCTTAAATTTCCCTTCCCTATGCCCTGTAAAAACTAAAATTAAAGGTCACAAAGGAGGCAAACAAACCTACTCACATGGAGTCAGAACAAGAGTTTTAAGTTTGGTTTAAGAAAAATAGCTCAGCAACTTTATATTGACAGCAACTTGACACTCTTAACTAGCTGGTAAGAAAGAGTCTAGCAAAATACAGCAGATTGAATACTAATAAGTTTCTTTACCTAGCCATTCCCAGGCTGGAAAAGTTGGAAGGAACTATCAGAACATCAAGCCTGGAAAAGGGGTGGGTACCCAGTGTGGCATAAGCAGCTGAGAGGCACTGAGGAACTAGCTGAAGCAAATATTCTTCACAGCTTTCCATAAGGCACCAAGGAGCAAAGACTCTATAAGGAATGACTGCTTGCAACCTGGCAGCAGGATTTTGGAAACGGCAGGGATACTCCACATGACCACAGATTTCTTCATGCCACCTGAAAATACAAAACAAAACAAAACAAAACTTAATTGCGTTATCAGAAATGTGCGCAACTAACTATGCTAAGACATATTCTCTAGACATCAGAATGACATCATTAATTTCCATAGAATCAGCTCACTTGCATCCTCACCCAGTTCACACGTGTAGCTCTTTGAAACACTCATTACTATATCTAAGTAGAACCCATAACTAATGAGAGAGACTAGTCACGCACTGTTTTTATAACAGATATGCATCAAAAGAATAAGTGCTCAAAATATATGTAAAAAGGACCAATAAGAATACAAAAAATATTTACTCTGAAAATTCCTATTCGAACTTGGCTATGAAAATAAAATTCTATGAATATTAACATAACATTAATACAAGTATTTTAGGTTCAATTGCAATATAATTCCAGGAGGGGTTTTTTTCTGTTGTTGTTTTTACTAAAATTCTCCAAAAGCTTCAAGTAATTTTTTTTATTATTATTAAATAAAAAAACCCAGTATAGGCCTATCATGCTAGACATTCAATAGTACCACGTAAGGCCAACCTCACTTTATAGAACTTTTACAGGATATTTAGAGCTCTAGCTGGAAGAAAGGAGGGGTAAATCAAATCCTTTCTAAACACTGAGTCATATACCTTCACAATAAGTTATCTGCCCAAATAGATTCTTATCTAAACAGAAATCAGTTTCATGTTTTCACCTGTTAGCCTATGTTCTCTCCAGTGCACAGCCTCTCCTTGGTTTGAACCTTCAGTTTAGATAATCTAGTTCTACAATGCCTCAACAGGCAAAGCACCTAGCATTGCCCAAAGCACTTGTGCTTGGAAGATTGTGCTGACACAGAAAACAAAATGATGACATGTAGAAAAGGATGAGATTTGGCTGAAGTATTAACACTCTAGTCTCTAGCACCTTACATAAGTCTTTCTGTCAAAGTGGACTCTATGTCCTTTCATTGACTGCATATGCAAAGAATCCACATCCATTGCACACAATTTTTATAAGGGTGGTTTAATCTAGTATATTTCTACTCTAAAACAATGTCACTTTGCATTTTATTATCAGAGATTAGGCAGGAACATGAAAGCTAGCACCATATCTCTTATAAAGATTGCCAATTCCTTAATGACCACAAGGATATAAAAAGTTATAAACATCATAGCTCCATTTAACATTTACTTTGATACAGCCTCCTTAGGTCAAACTCACTGGCACCTGGACACAAATTACATTACACACTTCAACAGCTTCTTTCAGAATTCCTTTCTTTTCCTGCTACCCTAGACTTTATCTCCACTATCTTATCCGAGACACATTCTATTAACATTCTATTAACAATGAGCCAGAATAATCTTTTGCACCAAAATCAACAAATAAATTAATAATTAATAATCAATCAATAAATAAATAAATTCCTATTACCAAATGTCCTGTATTTTGGAGAAGAATACATCTTCAGCTTATTCTTGCAGACGCAGTCATATTATAAACATATAAGCAGCAAAGAAATAAACACAAACAATTTCTAGAAGCTCATCAAACCTATAAATTATTTCAAAATTAGAACGGATATTTCTTAATTATCCTATGTAAAGTAAGAAATTGTTTTTTCTCAAGATCAATTAGCATTTTTTAACCAAAATCAGTCAAGCTGCTTGATTAGAATTTAATTAGAATAATTTAATTTTAAATTCCAATAAAAACATCCATTTTAAGTCCTCAGTTCCAATGTCTCAGTGGTTCCACTGTCTTAATGCTAACAAAGTATTTTTCCAAACAGCTGTCTAAAAGACAAGTATTTTTCCAGCAAAGTTTCAAACTGAGTAACAGGAAAATGTTAAACACATAAATAATAAAGTTTAAAAAATTAATAAATAATGAAGTTAAATATATAAGAACTTAGAACCCAAATCACCTTCTACAATAAAATAACAATTCCTGTTGATGTGGGAAGAGTAGTGGACCTTGTTTGCCTGGACTTTTGCAAACCATTGGCCACAGACAAACAGGCAACATACAAACTGTATAGGTGGTCTGCAAGATGGGTGCAAAAACTGATGCACAGGGCCCACTCAGAGAGTGGTGATCAGTGGTTTTCACTAAGGCTGGCAGCTTGTCACATGTGGAGTTCCCCAAGAAATTGTGTTCGGCCACACACATCTTCACAAACATTCTGAGTGATGGATTTGAAAGCACTTTCACCAGGTTAGCTGTTGTGGGGAAGGGCACAGCCCTGCACCTGGGGTGGCACCACCCCAGGGCCCAGCACAGGCTGTGACCTGCCTGTCTGGGGAGCAGCCTTGCTGAAAGGGACACGGAGGTTCAGGGGACAATCTCCTGACTACAAGTCACCCGGTGGCACTGCAGCTACGAGGGCAACCAGGCCCTGGGCTGCAGCTGCAGGGGCTCTGCTGGCAGAGAGGGACAGAGTGGATCAGCACCCCTGGCACACAGGGACAGAGGAATCAGCACCCCTGGCACACAGGCACAGAGGGATCAGGGACAGAGGAATCAGCACCTCTGGCACACAGGCACAGAGGGATCAGGGACAGAGGAATCAGCACCCCTGGCACACAGGNACAGAGGGATCAGGGACAGAGGAATCAGCACCCCTGGCACACAGGGACAGAGGGATCAGGCACAGAGGAAACAGCACCCCTGGCACACAGGGACAGAGTGGATCAGGGACAGAGGAACCAGCACCCCTGGCACACAGGGACAGAGGGATTAAGGACAGAGGAATCAGCACCCCTGGCACACAGGGACAGAGGAATCAGCACCCCTGGCACACAGGGACAGAGGAACCAGCACACCTGGCACACAGGGACAGAGTGGATCAGGGACAGAGGAACCAGCACCCCTGGCACACAGGGACAGGGTGGATCAGCAGGCCCGAGCACGGCTCGTCACGCAGCACCCGTGGGAACCAGCACCTCTCCTGCTGGGCCTCACAATTCAAGGAAGACACAAAAATGAACAAAGGGCTGCAGAACCTGCCCTGTGAGGAAAGACAGAAGGAGCTAGGCCTTTCCAGGGAAGAGGAAAGAGAACCTCATCACAGTGTTTCAGTACTTGAAGGGCATCTACAAAGGGCATACAGTTGTTCTCTTCACAAGGAGCTACATGGCCAGGACAAGGGCCAATGGGTGTTAGATATCTTTATCTAAGCTCCTCCCCACGAAAGAATGGACCAGATGAACTTTCAAGGTCCCTTACAACCTGGGTTATTCTGTGGTGCTATGATATGAATTTGAAAAGCTGAGAATAATATATGAGAAAATCAAGTCCCATGTCTGAGACTTCTGCTAACTAAGGTGAATACATGTGAAAGCAAATGGTATTTTTCCAGAAACTTGTTTTCTGTCTTCAAATCTTATTTTCAGGCATATATTGTTCTGCTCATCTACCACTCTGTCATAATTCAAACTTAATGAGTTTTAACTAGACTGGGAGAAGGAATAGATGTGTCAAAAATAATTACATTTCTATTAGTTTGGTCAAAATCAGCTAAGAATCATTGGTCCAACTCTATTTTATGGGACCACTGTACTAGATCTTTCATGTACCTGGTCATTTCACATCACCCCAGTGCACAGGCCAGCTCTAACTGGGCAATGAGACTGGAGCAGATCAAAAAAGTAGGCAATATTATAGTAGGAGTCATTAGGTATCCAGAATGGACTGAGTCAAGTATTTTAGACACAAGACAGCACCTGGCATTGCTGCAGAAGAGTGTTAAGTATACAGGATACAAATCTAGCAGACAGTGGAATTTACAAACCCTGTTGCTCACTAAGTAGCAACACATAAAAAGAACCACTCCCATGAAATAATGCCTTTGGAATTATTTTCCTGTCAAGATTTTTCTGTTCAGATTAAACAAGTTCTACTTTGATTCCTGTGCCAATATGACTCATTTTCACATTCCAAAGAGTAAATGGAAATGCTACCCATACATTTAATTTTTCAATAATGTTATAAACACGAACCTTAAATCAGTTTGTGATGATGGCAAGGAAAATTCAGTGTTCGTTCCAATAGCAGCTTTTTGTTTGAAGGACTGCTGTTTAACTTCCTGCCAGCACCCCACTGCAATAGTGAAGGTGGATGCTGGCATTGGCATAGACACATAGTAGTACCAGCTCAAGATACCTGTAAACAAAAGAACATTCGTACAGACTCATGAGTCTTACAGCACATGTTAGGTACTTGACATTTTCATGCACTTGAGATTTTGGGCCAAACCTTCCACCTTACATCCTGGTATTTTTGTGGAGGAAATAAAAATTATTGTATTGAGAAACATAAGAACAGTTGTATGTAACCACCACGAATTCTGTGTTCTATCTACTTACACCTGCAACTTTGCTCTTTCTGCTGATGTCTTTACCTGTAAATAAATCATCCATAAGTGGGATGCTATTAATGCAACTTAACATGATTGTACTGTCACTACCCAAAAATTACATCAGACATGAAATCTAGTAACACCTTTAAATACACAATATTAAAATTTAACTCTTTCAGCCTTGTATCTACTGTCTTATGATTTTGTCTCGTCTGTGTTATTATTTCACACAACCCAAAACCCTTCCTTTGTGTTCTGAGCAGTATCAAACTGATAGGCAAGTTCTAACAAATAACACTAATGTTTGTGAATTGGACTCAGCTATTTGAGGTATGTAATATATCAACCAGGCAGTAAGAAATCAAAGCTGAGACACGGATGAGATATTACCTAAGTCAGCAACTTGGCCATGTTACCCCATGAAGGTGCTAAAACAAGACAAGAATCTATTAGAAAGTAAAAATATACTAAGTTCTATCATTACGAGAACAGAATGTGGGGAGACAAGGAGTATGGCATAGGATTATTGTATGTACAAACACATTTTTATAAGGTGGATGTTTTAGAACAGCATACTTTTCATTAATACAAATGTTGCTTAGATTTTCTGTTTGTCCCTTTAAAAAGGACATAGCTTAAGAATCACATCCATGTACTAATTTATGGTCATAATACAGTTACTACACCATACTAGCAGATTCATTATCTTGAAGTGAGCCTAGCATGAGTTACAATCCGATGAATCATGTGCAAATAATTGTAGCTAGGGCAACGTGAAAACATACAAACTTCAGTTATTTTGAGAGAACTTTAGTACTTGCTCTTTTGCAAAAGTACTCTGACTAGGACTATGATACACTACCAAAAAGGAAAAAAAAAAAAAAAAAAAAAACCCACAACTAAGTGGAAACCCCAAGGCACAGAGGAAAGGAAATAGACAACTGCTACAAAGCATCACTTGATTTCCTACCTTAATGACCTAAGAAGGTCAGGCTGTCCAAAGCAAGAACAAAGAAAAAAATCTTTAGTTTAGTCTTGACAAGTTTTCCACCTTCTATTTAGTATGACAAAGCAATACCATTTGTGAAGTCTTCTGGGAGGTAGATAAAGTCTTTGCCTCTTATATGCACTAGAAACCATTCATACTCCTTCACCCCTTTCACCTTTAGGCAACATCCATCAAAAACCTTTTGTCAGTATTGTCAGGTGAACATATATTACTCTTGTAATTTTCCTAAGCTCCTGTCAGTATGTAAGCAGAATAGACTTATTTGCTCCAAACACATTAAGAATAAGGAGGATAACTTTGCACTGTGCTAAAGGCCCAAGCCTACACAGTTGTTACTGTAGTTAATAACAACTTTGCCATTAACTTACATACATACAGGACAAGGTTCAGAGGTTCTGCACTTAGTGTAACATCTAAGTGCTATAAAGTATTACTAAAAGCTCCATGTAGTTATGTTAATTGTAAAAACTTTAGAATTAAATAGCATCAGAGAAAGCTGTAATTGAAAAGCTGTCATGTGTTTTCAACTATGTTCTGAAAAAGGCATGGAAGTCAAAAAGCTGTTATAGAAAACTGTTCGAAATGGCACGAGGTATAAAGGAGAAGGCTCACACAACCGTGAGATTGTCTAATAGGAACGGGTGTTGGCCTGTGCTAGGTAGAGATCAGAGAGTGTTACAGTGAGAAACAAGTTTAGTAAGACAGGCTAGAGCAAGCAAGATGTTTTTTTCCCCTAAAAAACACTCCACAAACAGCTTGAACAGAATGTCTAAAAGGCAAGGCAATCAGATTAACAGTCCAGAGAGAAGAACAGCGTGTACTGCATTCAGAAATCTATACAAATTAGCAAGGAGCAGAATATTTAGAGCTGACCTGATGCAAAAAGAGTGAAGGTACCAAAGCTCCTTTTACTTCACAAGGATTTTAGAAATCATGTGAACTATGGATCCTCCTAGAGCAAGATCCAAGTTGTATAATGTCTCTGCATATCTACCCAGGGCTCAGTCCACTTCCTGCAATGCTTTTTGATGTCAAGAACTATGTAGAATACCTACATATTTATCCTACAGCTGTTGACTGAAATCATATGCATGGGCATGACAAGTGAGTTCTCCCTATAGAACCATAGAATCCTTCAGGTTGAGAAACAGTGCATTTGCTGATCAGTGACTGAAAAGGTCTTTTTATGGGCAGAAGTTCCCTCTGGAGAGAACCACGAAGCATTGTCTGAAAAATGGCTCAACTAACTCAAGTAACCTTTTGTCTTCTCTCACTACTGGTAAGATTGTTTCCCAGCCTGGACTCTCCCATAACTTCACTTCCTTCCTTACATTGTTTTCACATCAGGGGACTTTGTTTTGTTTTTCCTTCATCTGTATCCTATGATCTATCCCAGTACATAGATTGGGATCGTAAGCTTCACTCAACTCCTTTTTGCTGCTCTCCCCATCCTCTGGCTGCATTGTGCTTTTCAGTGTCAGCCTTGGAGACAGCTCCATCTCTAGGATAACAGAAAACAGTGCAGCTGAAACGTGGTTTTCTTTACAAAACACAGCATTTTGTACCATAAAAACATCTTCCAACTAAGTGAGAACACACTGGGCAAAACAAAAGGTTGGGCTGGGATTAGTCCTTGGGAAAAATAGAAGTAGATCACCCCAGTCCTTGTACTTGTAATGTAATTTTAAAACAACTTGATTCTTGCACATACTTCTTTTAGGCAATTATAATATTTTGTTATTTTCCCTACCTGTAATTCTGAATTGTTTTTCAGTTTTGAAAAGCAAATCTATTGTGTCCTAACTGCACTAATCATGCAGCAACAATCACCTATTCTATGAGTTAAAAGTGAAAAACTTTCCATGCAAATATTTAACAAGAGCAGGAATTTTAATCTATTTATAATTGTGCAAAAGAACAATTTAAAGATCGTTTATTTCTCCTACTTGAAATAATAATGATAAATTATGTAATTACTTCCTAGAATTTTTAATGCATTCAGCTATCTTTGAGATCACTAAAATTGTTTGAGTTTTATAGAGTTCATTATAACTGAAAAAATGCCAAAGATATATCTGTTAATGCCAGATGCAAGCACATTATGAACATTTTTACTTACCAGTATATTTTTTGTCAAATAGCTAGCACTAACACAAACACCACAAAATACAGCTGATGTTTACTGTTTACTAAAACCCACAAAGTTCGACTACCCCTACAGAAAAGGAGAAATAGCCCAACAGCAACAGATATACTAATTAATATATTAGCTAGAGTTAATATATAAACATGCAGCTAAATAAGTAGTTATGTAAAAAACTACTCTCTGGCTGGAGCACCAGGCCTAAGAGCCCTCCAGCTTTCAGAAACTCTTTGTGACTTGTAGGGATTTCTTGATCTCATCTGAAAACCAGAACTCCTCACACAGCTCCCTCACAGTCATGCCAGAGCATTAGTCTGAGAGGGATGAGTAGCACATGACAAGCTCTCAACTACCATGCTGCAGACCCTGATACATCCTGGAGATCAACCAACACAAGTACTGCACTCTTTTGTTTCGCCTTGTGGACAGTGAGGAGCACAAGCAAAGGAAACAGTGTAGTTAGCAGCAAAGGTTGCTGCTGCTAACTACATCTAGCACTCTGGGTTTTTTTTACCAGTGTACTCCTCACTCACAATGCAGGTGTCAAAACAAGATCAAGGATTGCACAGTAGTAGAGTAACCACACAAAAAGCGAGCCAGTCTGTTTCACACTTAATGGCTGAAAATCTACTTCTTGAATATGAACTGAACAAATAGAAAGGTGCTTGTGACTAAACGTATTTGCAGCTTCTATGTATTATAGTAACGTGCTGAAGGAAAGTAAAACTGACAAATGTAGAAAAATAAATCTGATGTTTAAATGGCTCACTTTATACACACATGGAGTGCTCCCCATGAAGCTTTCTCCCAAAGGGTATTAATAATTGCATTTTTCTGATCAACTTCTCTAAGTACTCCATAAAACTCCATAAAGTGTTTTAAGCACTTTTGGTCATACTCAAATAGTTACCATTTCTACTTGTGTAAATATTCTATCACTATTTTCAAACAAACCTGGGCTCCCTCTATTTTAAATGACAGGATCAACCACAGTTTTGTAGGAGGCAGAATGCAAAAGTGGCACATATGGGAGGGTACAGACTCTTGCCAAAACCTGCAAATACAAGTGGTAAATGAGGAATCTGCATATAAGAGTACACCTAGCCCAGCTATGCACTGGATCACTGGATCCATACATGTAGAGATGTGTCTGTGAAGCAGGATGCAGATCTCTAAAAGCTCATAGGAATCAAACTTAGATTGGTGTTCTCTTACTGTCTGCCTGTCCACTGGTTTTAAATACAACTTTTATAGGAAAAAAAATTCAGCTAACTTGTAATTCTATTCAAAATAAATTTATTCACAACTGCTTACCAAAATGCTAACTCATTCCAATTAATTGCATCTTTTTAAAAATAGATTTTATTAATTGTCCAGTTATGTATGATATTATAAATATGCAACACTAGTAATACCATACTGTATATAAACAACTTGGCAAGCCTATTTAAATTGAAGCTACCCTGGAAGGCTTTCCGGTGTGTAAAGACAAAATCTTAAGATGATGTGGTGGTTTGACCAGGAAGAAGTGGGAATTCTGGGATGCTGTGGTCAAACCAATGGGTGCTCGGATTTTGATATTGGCCCCTGGTGTGGCCAGTGGGGTTTGGACACACCTCCGAGAACACACAGGGGTTAAAAGCAGAGCTTCGGCCCTGAGAGGCCTCTTGGGACTTCGAGGGAAAGAGGTCAGATCTCCCTCCCCTGTCCAGCCGCTGCTGCTGGGCAGGGGAGGGGCAGCCATGTGGTAGGCCTGGGCCTGGACAGAGATGGGGGTGAGGAGGCCCTTGAGGATGGAAGGGTGGAGGAGCAGCTCCAAGAGACATCGGGCAGCCATTCCCCTCCCAGGAGGGAGAGAGGGGGAGAGTCGGCGTCTGAATGTGATAGCAGCCAGCCCAGGAGGACAAGGGGGTGAAGTGCCGGCTGGCCGCAGCAGCAGCGATGTGGGAGTATCGGCGTCCTGAGACAGACAAAGACTGGAAGTTTTAACCCCTTTCTTTCATGATTGGGGCCTTGCAAAAATGCTGATCCTCCTCGAAGCTGAATAAGAAGGGAAATAGGAGATGAGATGAGACAAGGACCTGGCCCGAAGGATGTGGAGATGATTGAGTGGGGAGAGATGATTGGAGTGGCCTTTTGGCTGGACTTTTCTTGTGGCCATGGACTCAGTTTGTTCCTGTGACACAGAGACTGCACTTGGGGGGGAAGCAGTGGCTCAGAACCAGGAGGGTTCATTGTGGGGACGCCTTGGCCCCAGGGGGTTGGAAAAATATGGGGGGGACAGATGTCCCAAAGCAGAGACTGTGCCTTTTTGGAGTGAGACAAGGCATCCTTAAAAGACAGCCCTAGAAGCAGCTCTGGTCCATGCACAGTGGTGAGAGCACTGGGCATGGAAGGAAGATGTCACCATGGCAAAAGGACTTTCTGGGCGGTGCTGAGTGACATGGAAGCACACGAGGTTTCAGCATGTTTCCAGGGGAAGCCTATGGTGCAAGAAGGACTCCTCTCCTCTTCATGGACTGAAGTTTGAGTATTCTAAAGGGTGGTGCCAGGCTGGGCAGTTGGTGATTTGGGGGAATGTATCAGATTGGGAAATTCTGGTGTTGGGGAAGAGGAAAGTGTTTTTTGTAAGGTTTTCAATTTTTTTTTCTTTTCCTTATAGTTTTTTTCCTATTTTCCTGTAGTTTAGGTAATAAAGTGTTCTTTATGTTTAAGCTGGAGCCTGTTTTGCTTATTCCTAGTCACATCTCACAGCAGACCCCAGAGAGAGGGTGTTTTCATGGGGGCACTGGCTCTGTGCCAGGCTCAAACCATGACAGATGAATACATTTCACATACCTTCCAGAATTGCCAAACAACAAGATCTATGTGGACAGGTTATTTAAAACAACAGAATATTTTTAAACTTTTTAACTCTTAGAGGTTCTATAAATTAGAACCTATTAATTAAACTCATGAATTTTTATTCCTAAATTCATTAAGAATTTATCCAAGGCCACAGATTAGCACTAAAATCTTGGGTTTACTTGGACTTTAAAATGTTCCTCAGAATATTACCCCTTTCCCTTTTTGTCTCTGTATTAGTTTTGTAAACTTTTATCGTAGTCTGAAGTCAAGAGGGTCCTTGCTTTCTTGATGCTGAGACAGGAAAGTATTATTCTCCAAAAGAACTGAGCAGCTTATCATAGCAGTTTTCCATATTTCAGCAGCAGAGACAAACCTTGAAAGAGGCCCCATATATGGCCAAATATAACCAGAAAATTCCATGAAAATGGATTAACTGATGATTCTCAAATCAAGAGACTTTCTCTTTTTTTTCTGCTCAAGAATAAACCTGTCTATTTAAAGGGGAGCAGAAGACATTTTTCCCCAGAAAAGTTTAATTCTAACCTTCTCTTGCATGCTGTGCCTCATCAGAACTACTCACACTAGAAAATACCGACCCAGTTTGACAGATTATATCAAAACTCACAAGAACAAGACCCACTTCATTTTATGTAGAACTTACACAATCCTTAAAAACTTTCTTCTCTGTGCAGAAAGACATTTAAATAATAAAGTATAGCCAACACAGAAGAAATCCTTGTTTGCTTACTGTTGAAAAAGATATGTTTTATCAATGTCAAAAACTCCCACAGAGATCAGATTTTCAGGGCACTGACCAGATATTCTTCAGATATTCCATGTATTCCAGGCAACACATATGGCACAAAGGCTGCTTCTAACCACATGCTGAACTACACTGAGATTGGAGAACTAAAACTGAAAGATAGTTATCTACCAAGGTCTGAAGTTGTTGAGAGCCTGATAAGGTTTGCATCTACAAAACTTGAATACACTGTGATTAAAATAAAGCCAATTTATGAAAAATTAAATCTAGGTTTGGAAATACAGAGGGAGAAAAAAGCAACACAGTGAAATGCAGAAATGTAGATACTGCAAATATTTATGAAGTTATCCTGAGGCCTTGAGCAGATAACTTTTCCACAGAATGACATGGAGATTACAGAGAGACATGGAAATGTTTTTAAGGCTAGGAACTTCATTCTTTCACAAATCACTTATTTACCAAGCTTGGTTTCTAATTATAAAAGTATGGAAAATAATTTGCCTTGAAAAATGTATTTCACCTTCTCGAAGCTGTACTGGTTCTGCTGAGTTTTCACCACTCATTAACACAACAAAGCCTGCAGCTGTTCGAACTGAGGCTTGCCATGTTGACAAGGCAGTTGGTGGTTCTTGGCATGGAAAGAGGGCTCTGTTGTTTATTGGTGATCCCATTGTGTAAACACATGGCCTAGATGGAAGGAAAAGAGATTGACATTGGAATTACAATAAGAAAGACTGAATTAAGTTCTACATAAAAAAAATCAAAGGTGCTGTCATACTGTGAGGTGGTTTCTTCCTTTAACTTCAGTTCTGCAGGTCCAAAGCTGTATGACATGAACTAATCAAAATACAATCTAAGTAATTAAAGACAAGAAAAGCAAGATTACTACCATACCTTCAGATTAGAAAATACTAACTCCAGTCTTTTCCCTCTCCTGTTTTTGCATGAGTCTCCCAGCCTCATACAATACCTTCTAGTTGAACCCATAAGGTCAAAGAAGGCTTCTGAGTATCTTCTGACAATGCCATTGCAGGGCTTCCCCAACACCTGTGACACCTCTTTCACTATCATGAATCCAGTCTCCTGCATCAGCAACATGGAGGCTCATGCAAAATCAGCAGATCTAGTTTTGAGTCTTCCTTACTCCAAGCCTCAATAAATCCTGGCATTTTTACATTTAATCTTAAAGGTAATGCATCCTAGCTCACTTGTCTTTGGGAATTTCAGCCACAGGGCATATAAAAAGAATTAATTTCTACCCTGTTAGCTTCAGCCTCCTTCTTGCTGCTTACATAGAAATCTTCCTTGTAGTACTGCTCTTTTTGTAGTAACTCTAAATCTCCTCCCAGCTGAACCTCTCAGTCATCTACCCCTTTCCAATTTCAGCTGCAATATTTCATGATCGTAAATTTCTTATTAACCATTTAGCTGCAGCTGGGAAGGCAACAAGGCCTTTCATTAGTTTCTTCTAACTTGCTATTGCTGGTGATGGACTTAATGATTCTTGGTTTACTGATTTTGTTTCATTTTGCAGTATTATCTAAATTCCTATTATGTGCATAACAATGCCACTTATCTTAAGAAAAAAGGCTATTTTTAAAATTATAAATTATATAAAAAATCCACAATCAATAGGTTTCTCCAGTAAAAGAAAGAAAGTCCTGAAATCATCACGTCACTACACTGAACTTTTTAAAACCTATGATATTTAAAGCTAAATATTATGGGAGCAAAATGCATTATTTTGTGAACTCTTGAAGCTAAAAATATTCTGATCAGTATCTTTCATTACTTGAGTTGAAAAATTATCAAAGCATTTCAGAAAGTAGGAGACAAATTGTTAGAGCAAAACTGATTTTGCAATGGCTAAAATCATAAGATTTTATTTACTCCCCTCCAAACTGCTTTTCCTTTCAAATTATTCCTTCTCCAAAGCCAACTTCAAACTATACAGAGAGAAAGAACATGGAAATACTGAGTCACAGATTAAATATACTCCAAAGATATTTTTGCCCTCTTGTCATTGCTATCTCTGCTATTGGATCCAGAGCTGTCTTGGCACATTAAATTACTGTGGCTTAACTAATGCAGACCAGTTGATCTTCCAGCAAATGAAAGACGAAAGCTGCAGTTTAATTAGGCCTTATTGTTAATGCACACAAGTAGGAAAAGAAAATGGTCTAACTTCCCCCATCATGTACCAGAGTGAAGAGAGTAGGACCTAGACATCAAGTGAAGTTCAGGTAACTGCAGTGGAGAGAAAGCCAAGTGGTTATTTCTTAAACAGTAAAACATAATATACAGCTAAATGTCATAGACCACTAAACTGCATGGATTTTTAATTTACTTAGTTAGAATTAAACTCCTAAAACTGAATCTGTAACCTATCTGATATACATAGAATATTTGGCTTTTCCCCCATAAAAACAGAGTGCATGACAGTGAGTTCACAGGAAAAAAGAAGAACCTGTTTTTTCACCTTCTAGGAAGACCTGCTTCCCCCTAGTAATTTTAGTCAAGAGCTACTGGGATTATTATTTACCGTAAAACACATTCGTGCTGAGAAGACATGGAAAGGAAAAAGGAAAGGTGGGATTAGTGACTACTGCTACACACATTTTCCCAATGATTAGCCATGCACAGTGAAGGCTGTTTTGCCAGGTGCCATTGGTACAATCCCCTCTTAGGAGCAGTACAGGGGATCTTCATATTCTGTACAGGGAAATGCCACAATGACAGAGAAAACTGGCTGGCAGAACAGTGCTAAACTGTTATAATGTGCTAAATGTTATAATGCTGTGTCAAATACAATATAAACATTACAGATAATAGATGTTACCAAGAACATTTATGTCACCTGCTCTCAGAGAGCACTTTTACCTGCAGACCATAAGGTATTTACAGATGCCAATACCATTTTGCAGATGGAGAAAATGAAACTCAGTGAACAGATATGCTTGAGAGCACTCAAGCTCCTCCTACAGGCTTAGTTCTAAGCCTCCTAGTCCAGTAGGTTTTTTTTTTCCCTAAGACATCTTAATTCTAAAATATACACACACAGGATGGTCACAAGTCTCTACCACAAAAGCCCAAGTAGAAAGTGAGTTAGGTAAGTGGAGAAAAACTGGTCACATACATAATCTGTTTTTCAGAAGTAGGACTTCTTTCCACTCCTCACCCATTTTAATACAATTTTTGACCAGTTATATTTGTTAACTTCATTATTTTCCTAAATATACCCAATTATGTCAGTCTGCTAAAAATTAGTAATGAAATAGACAGGTACTAAATATTAAAGAAAACTATCAGAAAAACAATTATGTAAGCCTTTAGTTAGATATTTACTATACTTCTTTTACAGTGGTAATTTCTTTTTATAGAATTGATAATTGTGCAATGTTACTTTAGGATATCCAGTGGATATCCAGTGCAGCTGACAACTGTCTTTGTTTGGGGTCAGACCGCACAATTTCAGCACATAAGAGGACCAGAAATATAATTCTTATCCTGGTATCAATCAGTTTCTTCATTTGATCCTGAAAAAAAACCCAGTTAATCTAAGCACATGACAGAATAGCAAAGACAAATAATTAGGTTTAGACTGCTCTTGTCAATTGATACCTGTATTTGCCCTTTTTAAATCAATTATCTCTACTGCTCCTAGCAAGAAACTTCACAGTTCCTTTCCTCTTTCTACTACCTATCCCTTCCACCCCAGTCTTTAACTTTTAATGGTCTTGTAATACTCAAATAATCTACTTATGTAATATTTATGCCAACCATAATTGCCAAGGTAGGTTTCAAGAGTTCAGGAAATTTCATGCAACAAAAGACAGATAAGCAGAGAAATCAGAATATTTATCTAGTTATTTGTCACACTGGAAGAACAAACATCCACAAAAGATTCATAAAACACAGGAGTGACATCTCTAGTCACTCCTTTGGAGAACTTTATGACATGTAAACAAAAAAATAAAAATAAACAACAAAAAAAAAATAGGCAAACCCTGAGTACAAAATAAATGGATTTGATATTCCTGGAAATGTAGAAGGCAAGAAACAAATATTTGTAAAAAATTTAAATAATCTCCTCTGAATCAGTTGTTCGAACCAAAAGGAAGACTATGAGAAAAATGGGTAAATTTTCCCAAGTAAACAACCATCCAGACTACTGGAGAAATTAAGTACTAGTTGTGGTAATGTTTGGGTTTGCCCCAAGAGGAGACTGAAGACTGTTGTTCAGTAATCTCTCTGATGAAAATTTGATTCATGCAACTGTAACTCATCAGTAGTCCTGATATCTTCACAACTCAACAAAATCAGTTCAAACCAGCTCTTGGCAGATCTCCCTCTTCCATGTAAGCCTACCCACTATACTATAATAATGTATTAACACGATCTTCAAACTAATAATAAATGTTCAGTGGCTAATCTGTTCTTTGAGCAGAAACCTGCAGACCTTGAGATGCCTGACATCAAGCACTTGAAAAATATTCTAAGGCTCACCCAAGTCAAACTGCTTCGCCTAATGTCTGAGGCTTTATGAAAGGAAAAGCCCACCTCAGAAACTCTATCCCTTTCCTCTATTTGAAAAATTACATTCCCTATTTCTGCAAAGGCTGTCTCCATTTAAGGATGTGAGGGGGCACCCTCCAACTAACAATGCCAATCCCTGTGAAAGCACTGCTGTTGGCAGCTGTTCCTTACTCTAAATTCCATTGTCAAAGCAGCAGGACTTTCTGGCATCTAAATCACAAGAAACTTTTTACTCTGCCTTATCAATTTACATATCTGCAAGGTTCCAGTGACTGTCATCAGATTCCACCAGAGCAGGTATTCTTGTTTACATTTTACTGTTGAAAAAAACACCAGTCAATAATACTCATGCTCCTCATTGTCTTCCTTTTAGCTAGGACAACTAATTCAGAGGATAGAATTTATATTTTTTACAAATATTGGTTTGTTGTCTTCCACATTTCAGGAATATCAAGTCCATTTATTTTGTACTGAGGGTTTGCCTACTTTTTTTGTTTTGATTTGGTTTTTTGGGTTTTTGTTTGTTTGTGCTTGTGGGGTTATTTTGTGGTTTATTTTGTTTGTTTGTTTTAATTTCCATTCTATTAATATAATTTGTCAATTTTTAGAATTCATTGCATACCATATGAATAATTCAACAAACGTCCAAATACTTCATTAATTTATCAAATATTTATATTCCCATATTAATGTTACTGGGAACAAAATTAAACAAAGTCACAGTAGAGATTCTCCACAACTGAGGAGAGCCTCTTAGGGTTTGGTCTGTGACCTACCAGGGTTGTAGACTATCTTATTCTATCCAATCTTGCCTTTGAAGAAAATCAAATACTTTTCTTCCTGCATTTCCAGCTTCCAAGAGCACAGAACAATGCAAACTCACACCACTGAAAAACCAAACATCTATTTCCATGACACATTTTATAATTTGTAGTAAATAACTTTACCTTCCAAACTAACCTCAGTAGTATTTTTCAAACACATTCCCTTCTATTCTCTTCCCTGCTGTACTTACTTTCAATTAGATTAGCTCCCTAATATGCCTTATGACCCAGCTGTATGCACACCTGTGTCATCACACCAGAGATGTAAGGAACTGGCATGCAAGTTTAGAGAGGTCAAAAGCGTCCCTTTCATCAAGTGTATTTTGATAGGTGTTCTGGTCATACATACGTCCTTTATACCATCCTTTATACTTTACCTCCTTTCCGCTTTCCATTTGCACAAGTCAGCTCTGACATTGCTTTTTTTGTTTGGCCACAAAAGCTTGGACAGGGAAATACTGAAATTCTGCATGTTCAGTTCCTCTACTAAAAACAGAAATGTGTCCTGCTGTGATAACATGTCTGTACACACATATCTGATCTTGCCTAAGCTCATCCCACAAAGCTTTGTTTCAGCTGGTGTTGTTTGTGTATTATAATACATCATTCTTTAAAACAAATAAAATGGAGCTCTTGATAAAATTGTGCATAGGCTAAATTTCAAAACATTGTACTAGTATTAAATTACAGGAAACGTTGGAAGTGGTGACACAATGTGTGTACTTTGTTATTTACTTTTCTTCAGGGTTGGAACCACAGTATAGTCTCCTTTGGCAAAGGACTTGACATCTGAAATAAAATGCATGAGATACATAATTTGGAACAATTTGAAGAATCCTCATATGGCAATATGAGATTTACCACTATCTTTATGGGCTCATCACATATAGAATTTGATTTTAAAAAGATACCAAGAAAGATTGTAATGATTATGCTATGAAAACTTATTTTCTGACAGGCATTAGTTTTTGGACTAATGTAGGCCTGATAATAAATCAGTTTGTGCTATTTTATACCATCAAACTTCTGGATTCATGTCAAGCCTGCTTTTTCTGCTCCATTACTGATCCATAAAATTCTATTCATTAGTGTACAACTGCCATGAAACGTCACTAAAGTAAAAATAATGCTTTGCAGTAAAAGACTTACAAAGAGTCAAAACTGTTCATGATTTAGATGCTTAAAAGAAACATTCAAATGCTCAAGCCACAGAGAGGAGTCCTATACCAGCTGAGTCTTGCCAACATTAGTTAGTTGGGCATAGACGTGATCATGGGCAATTGCTCTACCTTCACATGCAGTCAAAATTCAGAATTTTCAGATATAAGGGTACTATATCAAGTTAGATTTCTTAAACTCATACCAAAAATAACTCCTCAGGGAGTGAGGAAAGGAAGGGAAATAAATAATGAACACGACTGAGGCATTTCTGGACTTGATGGTGGTTACAGATTAGTAGCAGAATTCCCTAACCACAACAAATACAATCAAAAGGCCTCTCATTTTCCTCATCAACACAGATGCTAGTGAAAAGACTTAATTTATATGAATATAACTGAAATAAAAGATGACCATTTATCTTTTGACTGGGAAAGGAAAGCAAGTATTAAATTAGATCACATTTGTTCCTTTTCTTCCAACTTTGTTCCTGCTTTTTAGACATCAGAAAGAAATAACAGCCATTAAAATCCACTTTTCCACATTCCAATAAAACAATTACAGTTTTAGAAGTTAAGAGTGGATTGTAGTTTCCCTTCTATAAAAGGGAAATATTCAGTACAATACCATGTCCTTTTCACTAACACTAGATATAATTGCCAATTCTTCAGTTTGCAGTTCATTTGCTATCATCAATGTTCTTAACATTATAGATGAAGAAGATTTTGAAAGTTGATTATGAGAGACTAAACAGGAAAAGACTGTATTTCTAAGCTGATTACATTATTGATAAAGGACTAATTGTGAAGTAATTCTATTAAATGTTACATATATTGAACTTTATCTGTGTAAGCCAGGAAGGAAAAAGAGCACAAAGTAACCTGTCACTCATACCTTTTCCTTCCCCAAATGACAATTCCCCATTCCCTGCACACACTTACTGAAGTACACACAAGTTATTTACCCCCACCCAGAAAGACCAAACACAATCACTAAGACAGGCCTGTGACCCTCAAGTCCATTAGGGTTTCACGAGCAGAGAATTGTCTATTCTTCTACAGGATAGCAAAAGGATTCAAATCAAGGATGAAATTAAAACTGTGGAACAGTGTATTCACCATCTTCACAGTTGCTCAGCAATTATATGATTCTCCATTCTTGCACCTATTTAAATTTATTGCATACAAATCTTTCAGCAAACAGTTACATACCTGCCACTCTGGTCTGTAGTCCATGTAACAGATCTTCCCTCTGGCTTGGTTTTGTACCATATTCTTATTGCATGAGGAAAGTCCGCTGGAGACTGTATTCCTGATTTCCTTATCTCCAAGCTCCAGGTGCCAGTACTAAACAGAAGCTCCCCACAGCCAGGTGCCTGGCTACAGTGAGTAAAATAGTATAGCTGTTCCTTCCAGTGATCTGCAGGTAAAGTCACAAGTTCATGTACAATCTGATTCCTGATATTTTCCAGCTCCTTTGAAACAACAGTTAGCTTGGCAGACCTTGTAAATTTTTCAATGCCTGACACAGCAGCAACATCTAACTCTTCAACCTTTAGCACAGATAAATCACAGCAGTCCAATACCAGCAGAAAATCCTTGTTTCCATGATCCTCTATGTCACAGCAGTCCTTTGAACTAGAAATCCCAGAAGCCTGTTCATTGTTTCTATGGTTACTATTTCCATCAGAAGTAGCTTCCTCTTCTTTACCACTGACAGCAAAATCATTACATTCCGTTTTAGATGAACAGGTACTAACATTTATCATAGGAATGTGGCAGGGTTCAGATGCCCTCATTTTACAGGTTTCGTCAAACTGTGACTGGCAGCATTCTTTGCTAGCACTGATGGTTTTCCTGTACTGGCTCCCAGTCTCAAAGAACAAAACTATGCTGCCTTCAATAACTTTACTTTTAAAATCCACATCCAAGTCCAATACATAGTGCTTTAGAAGCATGTAACTAGTGTTTGCCATTAAAGGCAAATCATCCTTCATGGGGTCTAGCTGTGGCTCCATGTTCACCTATTGGGCAACAGTTTTACAAAGCCTTGAACAATTCTGACATATGATGACTCCAGAAGGAGAATATTCAGTCTCCCGGTGCTAAAAATAATTTTGAATAAGATTACAGTATTGAAATTGTAGTTTATCCACCTCTTGTACTCTAAAAAGAAAAAAAAAAAAGAAAATCATCTCACAACCATTTCTGAAATGCACTGATTCTAAATCTATTTAAAGTGCAGTTCCCTTTATTACAATAGTACAGCTAAAGGGTGATTGTATCTCCACACAACGGCATCAGGCCAGAATGGCATCTGCTTGCTTCAGGATTTGCTGTCAAGGACCAGTGGCTGTATTTTTCAGATAAGAATTCAACTTCAGATAAGAACTCAAATACTTTCATTTCAGTTGTTCTTTCAGAGATGAACTGAAATGAAAGTATTTCTAGACAGCTTTTATAAACTGATAGAAACAACCAAAAATATCAAAAGATAGTGATATATTTTAAAAACCAAGAATAAGTCTAAATCACCTCATAGGTCTTAAATGTTTAGAGTAATAAATTCCTGTATACAATGCTTGTCCACAGATTAATATACTTTCCACATTACAACCACTCCCGTATCAGCTCTTACAAGAAAATGAGCCAAATTACAAGCAGTGCATTCCAAGTATTCCTTTGAGATTGCTCATCAAGATTTTTAAAATCTTAAATACTTGAGGTATATAATTACATTTTTGTAGCTGGAAACTCACAACAACAACTCAGAATAGTGCCTTACAGAAAACAAAAAGTCTTTTTACTGGAAAATAAGTAAAATACCTATATATATATATATATATATATATAGGAAATAAGGAAAATAAGTAAATACCTATAAAGGCACAAAAATACTAAAATGCACCAACATTTGTTGCAACAGTAGGCAGAAATTCATCACAAAGAACGGACATGCATTCTCTGTTTTGCCTAGGTCGTGCACTTTTAGCCCACTTAAGTCCTTTCTGTTTGCTTTCTAGATAAGGAATAGGTATCAGAGGATGAAATACAGAGTTCTCTCCCTGGCATTTCAGTGACACTCACCATGATAGGCAGCCAGGCCAGCTTCTAAGTGCCATAAGAGAACAGATACTCCACTGTGACATGCACAATCCATTTCACAGTTTTACACCTCATCACAGACTTCAACTATCCAAAGCAAATTTTTATTTAGTTCTCCAAGTCAGCACAGAGGGAAAGTCACTACCCAAAGACTTGTTGTATCTTTTCTGTAGGAGTCCAAGGCATACTATCAAGCTACTATCATTATGTGAAAGGCTCAGGGCAAGAAACTCAGGGCAAGATGTCCATATAGTTCCCTAAACTAGTTTCACACAAGGCACAAAAACATAGCATGTATCTCCCTACCTCAGTGGCTTTCTAGCTGTCAGAAACAGCTCTTTCAGGGCAGTCTTTGATGGCAAGCTGAGAAAAACCTTCCTTTGAACATATAACAATCTTTCAGTACTTCTGCAAACATACTTGGGCAACAAGCTCACATCAGAAGGTTCTTTCACTGAAATAGCTCGGTAAATTCAGGCATCATGAACAATGCATCTATGATGTCTGTGTAATGCTGTGGACTGAACCTGATGTTACCTGGATTTTTTTCTGACTACCAAAACCTCATGAAGGCCAGCAGGTCAAGTAATTATTGGTGATAAGAGTAAAGAAATAAAGTGACTTGGTGAGGAAAACCTCAACACTGAGCTAACATTCAAACTCACATTTTTAATTTGTAAATATTTTTAATATAGCACTAACACCTTTTATGAAATGTGAATACTATCCTATGCACAGAACTGTAGGGAGACGAGGCCAGCCTTGGGAAAAGACAATTAGGGAAGATGCTGTAGCCCAGGTCCTGACTGGGTGTCTACAGCAGATGTAGGCAGCCTCCCCCTAGAGGGGCATAGGGAAAAGACAAGCAAAAAAATCTAAGCTGTCTCGCAAATACAACTATCCTCCATGCACTGCAAGGCATTACACTGAGCTAATTTTCTTAAACTGCAAAAATTGATTGGTTTTTGTATTCTGTATAGCTGCTTTTTTTTTTTTTTTGTTATTGGAATGAAACACTAAATGAAAAGGGAATGAGAAAATAAAGAATAAGAACAGAAATATACAATTTTAATTCTAAGAATACCAAAATATGCTCCCAGGAAACAGCATTCTCTGTCATTGTCATGAACAGAACTGCTAATTATATGACATTCAAATACATGGATAAATGCTTGTGTCCCAGACAAGATGGATATCTACTTCTCCTTCAGGCTCTGGTTGGCTTATCAAATATTGGACCTCAATCACCTTGGGAAATTACCAGTTTTATTCAAGAAAATACAGGAATGAACTGTTTATTTGGACACTGAAGTAGACAGCGGACACTTAAATAAAAGAGCTTTTTACTACCAAGGAAAAAGCAAAAGATCACGGCACCAAATGACCATGCACACAATCCCTGTAGCAATGAAACAAATAAAACAGGAATCATATTAAAGCAAACCTGAAATAAAAAGTGAAAAAAAAGTGCAAGTGAAAAAAAAATGCAAGCAAAAAAAAAAAAAGGTAAAGGAAGGATGTACTTCAGCAAAAGAGGAGGATAAAAATTACAATAGAATGTAATATCAAAGTTAAAAAGTAATGAACTTTTTCACAAATTTTTTAAAGGACCATTCTCAGAATGTAACTGAACAGGACAAAATTATTTATATGTTTACATTTTGCTACATTTGTTTCAAGTCTAGGTATCTGTACATTTGCTTTCAATCAGTAAAGCTAGTTCAACGATGTTGTAAAACAACATACTGATCCTTTGTTTGAAATTTAGCATCCACATATAGACTGTCCCTCATTGGTGCAGCAGGACGAAACCACTGAGATGACATACAGAGAAATTACATGCGCACTCACAGAAGAAAGAAGTTGTAATGACAGATACTAGGGACTGGTGAGGAGAAAAAAGGTAGCTGTGCAACTATCAAATATGTAAACCCCATTCTCTTCTTTGTATAGACTGTGATGTCTTTTCATAAACACATGATAATTTGGGTGGTTTAACTGAACAAGTTGTAAATAATGATTTTATTTACCATTTGATTCCAACGGCATTTGACTAAATATAACTTCATGGTGTCTTTTCTTCAATCAAGTCTTCCCAAAATTTGTAAATACATCACAGTATTATTATCCCTCCAACACAGTTATTACTGCTGGTCTAAAATACAGCCTATTGAAGTACTAGGCAGGATCAACAGCGGCTGCAATGCTACACAAATTTGCAACTCAAGCCCAGGTAAAAAAACAAAGCATTCTTTCTGACAAAAGAAGAATAATTTCCTACATTTTATGTGACAAATTAAGTATAGACTGAGATGAACTGTAAAAAAATTAACTCCCAAGCTGTGTACAATAACATAACTAATTCAGTCTAGCATTTGCCATTCATTCTGTATTTCTTTTCACTTTTCCTTAATAGGTAAAGAGAACAAATTCTAATCATGGTGTTGATATAATACAGGAAACATGTTACCTCACCTTCTGAAGCAAACCCCTTGCTGTACACCTTGAAAGTTCTCTGCACATATTTCAGCTTTGTGTATGTAAACAATAAATCTTTTACTACTGCTTCATAAGTATGCTGTTCTGGGAAATATTCTTTGAATTTAGTATGATAAGTTGTTCACTATCTTACATATATATCAAGGTACTGGCATCACAGAAAAGATACATTTTTTTACTTTTTTTTTTAATATGTCTCTTATTCAACATTGTCTCATTGTCTTCTGTAATATTTTTGCTATATTACGCCCATAATATGAGTATCTGGTTTTAATTTCTGTGCAATTAATGCATTTCACCTTTAGAAAAGGAGGTTCACTAGCTGAACTCCAGGCACGGAAAAAAAATAGAAATTGTAATGCTGCTACAAAGTCCTGGTGATCATTTCATAAACAGTGTTTAATGTCATACTTCTTTCACACTAAGAGATATAAAAAATTACTAGTATATTTTAAAGAGAGACCTTAAATTCAATGGATCTTTCTTATTAAATGTACTTTGTAAATACATTTTGTAAGTAATACAAGTAATAAAATTACAGGGAAAGCTGATTATTTGGTTTTATATTTTAATATTTTAGTAGACAGATGTTCACAAAACAATAAACAATAACAGCAGATGGTGGCCAACATTAATAGAGTCAATCTTGATCAGCAGCACATAATAGAATTGCATAAAAGACATGAAGAATGGGAAACAGGAGAGATATGATCCTTTGGGAAATTATATGTGCATAACATTGTTTTCCACTCAATACCAAAAGCATCAGCCTGAATTAGAAACACAGGTCTCTGAAAGCAAATATGAGGAAAAAAAGTTTCCAGGCAACATAAAACACAGTTGCAAAGTAGACAAGATTAAGCTTCCTAAAAATATGTATGGGGAGGGGAGGGGGGAAGTTTCTTTTTGATAGGCAATACACTGTAACTCAAAGTCTCAGGTTTTAAAGTTAAAAGCAACAAGGAAATAAAGAGATAGGGAAGAACTTCAAAATATAATTCTCTCCAGTGAAAACTGAGGAAAAAAAAAAACCCAGGGACAGCTGAACTCCACAGCATACCCATTTCAAATAGTGAACCAGAAAGGGGAAGAGGAGCACTGTTACACAAAGGAGTCTAGTTAAACTTGTAAACAGCACATTAAAAGCTAGAGTGATCAATTATGATAACTGACATTGATATTTCAGTAATCCAAGAAGCTGTTATTTTAAATGCTAATAGCTAACTACTCCAGTCTGACTCCACTCTTACAGTAATAATCCAAATAAGAAAATTAGCAAAGCCTCTGAACTCGTTGAAATGTCCATCAGAGGCACTACTAGCTGGAAGCAAGTGAAAGGCTTACAAACTTAAAAAAAAACCCAAACAAACCCACCGTGAAAAAGAGAAGATGCGTGGTCATTAGAGATGACTTCATAATATAATGTCAGGAGCTAGAAACACACTATCAAGGATGTACTGAATTATCTACTCCCTTTCCAAGCACACACCTAATTTCCCTGCACTCCTGCTACACCAGGCAGTGAAGGATTGTCTCACATGGGACACTGTCATGGCTTACAGCACTGTGAAAGGCAAACACAGCTGCCTAAGATAGTTCTGCATCTTGTCATGAAGGCATACACCCAACATGAAGCATATACAAAATACGTCTTGTTTCAGACCACAACTGCAGTTGTTGTTTTTCATGCATTTCCAAAATCTTAGAAAGCAAAAATGAATGAAAAGAGGGATGTACAATAGAAAAACAAGTCTCCAAGCAATCCAAGCAGTTACAGCTCTGTAGTTGATATCTAGCAGGCCCTGGAAAACTCCCAGCATGGAGTTGTTGCAAATATTTGCATACATAAACCTGTTAATGCCTTGCAAACCATACCACTGTTTTTTATTGTGCAAAATCAAAGTCACACAAAGTAACACACAAATGCTGACTCAAGTAGCAGGCATCAACCCCTAAGATGGTGCCCATTTCTATCTCAGCTTTTCCGTTTTTCACACCCCACACAAACTCATTCCCTGAAATAACACTCCATTTTTAAGTAACTCCACAGAAATTTACAAATTTAGTTTCCTAGCAAACTAAGGATGGTCAGAAGAACCCTACTGATGCTAAGCCTGCTTGAAGATCCTGCCAGAATAATCTGCTTTGATCAGCAGAAATAGCTATTTCCATGCACAGCCACTTGAGCACACAGCCTGGCAGGCGCACCTGAGCTGGTAATGTAAGCTAATATCCTGATCCACAAACAAGGATCTCCGAAGCACAGAGCACTTGATTGTGTTATGTACTCATGCTATTCTTCAAAAGGTGTAGAAGAATTTCAGTGACACAGACTTTTCCTGTGGCCCCTGGTCAATGGCCAATATTCAGACACATTTAAATGCCACCTTTTTATACAAGTAAATTAAGCCATGTTTGGACTCTCTTCACCTTCAGCCTAGCATAATTTTCTTCATCTGTACAAAAAAGCTAATTCAATTGCTTTCAACAAGCAGGTGTTAGAATTAAGGCTATAATGCTCTGTACTTAACATTTAAAGAAATTTTAAAATGAAAAAAAAAGGCACCTTTTGGATAAACATTCTCTTTGATAATTAGAAGATGTTTATAACTAATGCCATTTAAACCACTTTCAAGACAGCTCCTTCCAAATCCAGGTTTATACATTTTCTACTCAATATAAGACACTAAGATCTTACTAAGAACTCAGTTTTGACCACCAGTATCAACAATAATTTTACTCTTTAGATACCAAGGAATATGTACACATTATTTTTAGTAATTACAAACTTTTTTTTCCCTACACACACATCAGACAAATACCTAAGAGACCTTAAGCCTTTTTAAGACAAGAATGGGTTCTATAGATGAAAGTAAGGCTTAAATAAACTAACAGAAACATTTGCTCATGTTAAACTACTATAAAGCAATCCACATAGGAGAGCTTACAGACCTCACTCTGCGTCACAAGAAGAACAGCGCATTTTGTCATGAGGCTTTAATGTGAAAATTAATTCAATCACTGATATTCCTTGATAAAACAATTGGTACCATTCCAGAAGTCTCCTTTTAAGTCTGAAAACCATAGGAATAATGAGTATAATGGAAGACCTTCTTTACCAACTACAGCAGCAAGTAAGCAGAGAGGAAAATTTATTTCAATGAGCTGAAAAGACAAGCCAAGAGAGAAAACTCCATCTTTCAGGTTAAATAATAAAAAAAAAAAAAAAAAAAAAAAAAAAAAAAAAGTCCCCTTCTGCTCCCAAAATACTAGTTCCCAAAGAAAAACACCCAAGACTGAAAAAGAAGCATAACTTACAACTGGTAGAGGATCCTGATATTACCCTTAACCCATCCTTACTCCACTAACAATTATTTGTATTACAGTAATGACCAAATACTTAAAGAGAGACCAAATATGTGTTTTACAATTTTCAGGCCCCAAATCTACCATTACCTTATTTATCAAAAAATCCTCCAAAATAAAAAAAAAAAACAAAACAATCCCATGACCAACATTTGTGTAAGGACAGAATTTTCCAGTTTTTATTTTACGAAACTATTTCAAGGTGGACATGGGCCTGGGTAATTTGCTATACCTAACTCTGCTTGAACAGGGACTAGATAATCTTCAGTGGTCCCTCCAAAGCGAGTGATTCTATAGAGATGCTGAACAGCATTAAAGAGGAACTACTTTGGATTTTATTTCCATTCAAAATACACAAGAAAAGGTTCTGTGCGACTGACTTTCAGGACGTGGAGCATGCATGTCTGACGATATTCATACATAGCAATTGCCCAAATAAAATCCATGCTTAAACAGAATGTTTTCAACTTAATGCAACTGTAGTTAATGAACAATACCTACAACGTCAAAGAACTAAATCCTTAAGGCTGAAATCAGAAAAAGTCTTTTCAATGTTGACACTGGCAAGCCATCTCAGCCATTTAACTAGATCTCTGAAATCGAACCATTATCCTGAGTAAAGGATACAACAAAGCTGAGATTCTCAGATGAATTACACGCCACCATTTATTAAGACAGGAGTTTCACCTACGTGTTTCCACTGTAAAGAGGACAATGAGTGGAACAGATTTGAGAGGGTCGAACACATCCACGTTTAAAGTTCTTTCAGGACACCAGCAGCCCACAAGGATGCCATCGATCCAAGCTGCGTGAAAAAGGACAGCAGCGATCGCCGGCCGCAGGCTCCTTACTGCCTTGCATTCCGCCTCCTCCACGGCTCCCTATGCTCTGGGCGCAGCCATTTAGTTGGTGAGGAAAGGCAGGAACGGAAAATGTCACTTCCAGCAGCGCCTCCCTCGCACGAGGCGTGGCGGAGCACTGCGGGACAGGGACGCCGGCCCGTCCAGCCGAGCGCGGCGGGACCCGGCAGGAAGCACGGGGACGGGGGCGACGGACAGGGAAGGAACACTTACAGCGGCGGCCACTGCCCCGCCTGCGCGCCGGCTCCGGGGCGTGTGCGGGGACACACGTGGACACGCCGTCCCCTGCCCGGCCCGGCCCCGCCGGGCGCCCGACCTGCTGCTGCCGTCGCTGCCGCCACTCACCCGCGCCAGGCGCCGCGCCGGCTTCACCTCCCCGCCCCTACGGCGCGGCCGCGGCGCCCGCGGATGAGCTCATCGGGCCGGGCCCGCCCCGCCACCGGCACGGGCACCGGCACCGGCACCGCCCGGGCCCACCCCGCCACCGCCCGGGCCCGCCCCGCCACCGGCACGGGCACCGGCACCGGCACCGCCCGGGCCCACCCCGCCACCGCCCGGGCCCGCCCCGCCACCGGCTCCCCCGCGGCCTTCGGCGGCCCGGGTGCGGGCTAGCGAGTGTAAGGCGTCTGCTGTCAGCAGAGATGGCCTCGCCTCCCCAGCTAGAGGCTGATTTGGTGGATGACGAGTTGCCCATCAGCCGGCAGCGCCCTTGTGGCCCGGAGGGCCAAGGGTGTCCTGAGGCAAGAATGTAGAAGGTTTAGGGAGGTGATGCTGTCCGTCTGCTCGGCCCTCGTGAGGCCGCATCTAGAGTGCTGGGTCCAGTTCTGGCCTCCTCCGTAAAAGAGAGACAAGGAGCTACAGGAAGAGGTCATAAACAGTGGCAACAGTGGCTATAAACATTAGAAATTTTACTTCAACATAAGGAAGAATTTATTTTAAATTGAACGTGGCAGAACGCTGGAACAGGCTGTGCAGAAGATGAAGGGCTTCCCTCTCTGGAGATACTCCAAACCCACAGGGATGTGTTCCTACGTAATCTGCTGTAAGTGACCCTACCTGGGTGGAGGGGTTGGACTGGATCATTTCCAAAGGTCCCTTCCAACCCTATTTTGTGATTCTGTGAATTTCCCTCTCCCTCGGTGTGGGGTAAGAGGGCCAGGGCAGGAATTGTACTGGTGCAGTCGCTGGTGGTGATGTTCAGTGTTGGTATTGCCCAGCCATTTGCACCAGCCCTGGTGAGCACATTGAAATATCCACGTGGAGACACACACTTTTTATTTTCACACTGAGGTGGGGACATATGACTGATATGCAGGCAGCCAAAAATCCCAGTAGCCTCTGCTTAGAGCATAAATAAAAGCATTTCTTTTTACATCATATGTATGATTAGACACTTGATTCAGTCATTTAGATTGGCAATGAATAATTAAGCTCTTGGAGCAGTTAATCACTGGTTACCTGACAGGGCTGGTTGGTGCAAGCTCCAGGGATGCACCTCAATGGGAAGTTGTTCTGTTACTCCTGCAAGTAAAATGAAGAGACATGAAAAATTTCCAGTGATTTTGAGCACTGAAACAACCCCATTGACATTTAATTACTTATGCAACATGGAAAACCACTGACAGCAAAAATTGGGAGTCTCTCCCAGAACTTCCAGTTGCATTTTCCAGGGCATTTTGAAGGGCAGTAGGAAATTTGGATTCAGATCCTTGCTAACCAGCAGAAATAACAAACAAATTTCTCTCCCATCAAGCAATTGCTGTTATCCTTGGATTACAGAGACTTCCTGTCCCCCCTGGACAAATTATGCTAGGCAGGGAATTTGTGAATGCAGTTTGAAAATCATCCTGAGGAGAAGGATTTGGCTTAGTTTGTGAATTTGTTGTCAGATGAAAAATTGTTTGCACCCGGTGGGCTAATACAATGCTTAGTCTTCAAAAACCACTGGCCTGTGGAACCACATAATGCTTATTCTGTAGGAACAACAACTGGAAAGTAGCCAGCTCTGCTGTGCCAAATTTCACCAGTTCACCAGGTAGTCAGGTATGACTTTGGAGCTGCTGACCACCAGGGACCCCAAAAGAGACCCGCAGGACAGAAGGACGCATGCACAGAGGGGAAAGAACATGTGTCAGTGATTTCAGAGAAATCATTATCAATGTGTGTTTATTCCAGGAAAATCAATGAATATGTATGCAAAGAATAGTATACAAACAGGAACTTTTTCTGTACTCAGCAAGCACGATTTCTGGAGGAGATATGCCTTTGTGCATCTGGCTAAATAAAGAATACCTGCTTCTTAATGCTACATTGGTGTTAAGGACTTCTTTTTTCTGATTTTTGGTATCAAATGCCTGTTAGCAGAAAATATAGCGGCATAAATACTGGACTCAGGAGCCTATATGACATTTGGATGCCTACTTGCCCTTGTGAATTGCAAACTTATTTAGAGTAGGTCTGGTGGAAATGGTTTTTAAAGCATCAAAAACTGCCAGAAATCTCAATCTTTCCAAAGTAATTGGAACATACTAGCTCTGGTAGGAGAATAAAAGAAAATATCTCTGACACAGCGAGATCCAGTAGAGGGTCTTCTGTCTGAGGATTGCATCCACACTACCCGTACTCCAGAAGGACTTTCTGACTAGGTCTATCTGCAGTAGCCAAGGGAAGGCCAAGTCTAACATCAATATGCCACTTTGGTTAGGTTAAAGTATGTGTCCTGAATCCAGATAAAACCACTATTGTAGCGGTTCATTTTGAGAAGATATGCAGATACATACATGTAGATATGTAGATATATAGATATAAACAATGAAACTACACATTACTTTGCAAATACTAGAAAAGTAATATATTTTTTTTCTGATCAGGAAAACCATAGGCTTAAGCAAATGCAGCAGCCTTTGAGGGGTTTTTTGTTGTTTTCAGTGAACAATATGGTTCAAGTTTCCTACTGATGTAATAGTGATGTACAGAGCTCTTTAATTTAACTGTACTTTGTTAAAGATCTGTGGATTGTCATCACTGTTGACTATTCTCACTTTTACTTGCAAACATGACAGCTTTTCCAGGGACTGAGAGAATGCACCATTATAGCCTAAAGAAAATAAACCAGAATATCATCATGAGCATTAACCAACCTGTTTCTTGCTCTATATTTACCCAAAATCTACTTATTTCTTGGAAGAAGAGCTGTTCTCTGACAAATACCATCTGTCCAAATCCGTACACCATGGCCCATTGTCATCATCCTTCCTATTTACAATAAATCACTGTGGATTGCTCTCGTCAAGTGAAAACAGTGGATAGCCTGATACTTAGGAGTTTTGGAGGCTTGTTTTATTCAACATTAAACATAAGCCAAGTAGTTACCTGCTTGTGAGTCATTAATGAATTTTATCTGTTACTAAAAAGAACAGCTTAGTGTAAAAATACTACCGTGACTCTCACCAAAATAACGATTACATAAAGGGGCATTTTTATACAGCTTATTCAGGCAGTATTTCAAGACTATTCATATCTAACACCTTTAACAATCATACTATGTCAGTAGACAAATCCTAAAAGTAAAAAATACTGCAAGTAATTGTTGGATACTTTAAAAAAGAATTCATTACTAGTATTTTGGTGCCAAACCTGACATCAATTATTTGGCAATTATTTGGAGCAGTTGCTATATTAAGGAGTACTTGAAACACTGAGAAGAGAACAAAACTCATCTAACAAGTGGTGTCTGGACTGCTTACAATTAATAAACTCTATTTACAAACCACCTTTTAATTGATCACAAGATGCCAATGACAAAAAAATAAAAGACATGAAGATTGTGTTCTGGAGTGACTAATATTGCCATTAACTAGCATAGTTGATAATACTAATTACTATGCCCATTATCTTGTAATTAGTGTGATCTTCTAACTAGTATTTGCTCCATCCGGTGAAGTCAAAGCAGATTAGAGCTTGTGTATAAATTCTTTTTCAATTACACTGTATGGTTGTGCTGTTCAGGAATAGCATGAACCCATGTTAAAAATGGACTTCTTTAGAGCCACAAAAAGAAATTGTACATGTGAGTATGGCACTTTGTTGACATAGCAAACTGTGCTGTTAAAGATCTGTTGAAGACTATATTTGACAATTGACATTGAAGATGCATTTGATGAAGTGTGTGCAAAATTTTGGTAATAGTTTGAAACTTGATGTTGGCTGCTTTCAACCTTCTTTGAACATATGACTTGCCTTGCACTGTTAATTATTTTTTGTGATAATAGGGCCTAAAACTCAGTTAAGCTAAAAGCTCTACCAATGCAAAGGAAGAGGCATCATGTATTTTAGAGAGTTACCATGTAAAGAAACAACAGACATGCTTAGTATCAAGGGAAAGGGTTTAACAAAGAAGCAGCAGGAATGGTGTGATGGCAGCAAGGATCTCCCACACATCTTCACAGTAGTAACAGTGGTATGTAAGTAAGAACTGTTATAAACTTATATAAATTTTATATAGGAAATAAAAGGTGAGTAAGAAAGCACAACGAACAAGGTGGTATAAAAGCAGGTATGCTTGAAACATCTTTAAAACCTTATAAACTTGCACACCTCAGTCTGTTTTATTTTATTTTATTTTGATGATTTTCACAGGGGTCCTTACTACTAAATTCTTACCTTGTTTTGTCATGGGTTTTTTTTTCCCCCAGTGCCAAATATTTAAGAAAAAAGAGTAAATACTCCTAAAATTATCATGGGTTATCACAGAATGAATCGGGTTGAAAGAGACTGCAGTTGGTCATGTAGTTCAGCCTCCCTGCTCCAGAAGGAAAGGTCATCCTAGAGCACATGGAACAGGATTGCATCCAAGTGAATATTCTTGATTATCTCCAGTGAAGGAAGCTCAACAACCTCTCTGGGCAATCTGTTCCAATGCCTGGTCACCTGCACAGTAAAGAAGTTCTTCCTCATGTTCTGGTGGAACTTCCTGTGCATCAGTTTGTGCTCACTGCCTTTGCACCACTGAGCAGAGCCTGGCTCAATTCTCTTGCCACTCTCCCTTCAGATACTCACAGACAGGGTTGACATTCAATCTCAGTCATATCTTCTCCAGGCTGAACAGACCCATCTCCCTCAGCCTTGTCTTGCAACATTATCCAGACCCTGAAGCAACTCTATAGATCTTTTCTGGTGTCTCTCCAGGAGCTCCATGTCTCTCTTGTCCTAAGGAGCCCAGAACTGGACACAGCACTCCAGATGTGCCTCACCAGGGCTAAGTAGAAGGACAGGATCACCCCCCTCACTCTGCTGGCAATGCTTTTCCTAATGCATCCCAGGGCAACATTCTTGGCCACCAGGACACACTGCTGGCTCACGGACAGCTTGCTGTCTACTTGGACCTTCAGGTCCTTCTCTGCAGAGCTGCTTTCCAGCAGATCCACCCCCAGCCTGTGCTGGTGCCTGGGGTTATTCCTCTCCAGGTGCAGGACCCTCCATTTGCCTTTGATAAAATTCAGACGGTTTATCTCTGCTCATCTCTCCAACCTAAGTTGTCAGGTATGCTGCTTGACATGAAAACAGGTGCATTTGGCTGCACAGGTCAGAGTGGTCAGACGGCCCTGCTGCAGCTAAGCTTTATCCTCTTCCAAGGAAGCCCTTTCTGCTTTAGTTGTTCCTGAAGCTGAAGTTGGGAGGCACTGTCCCACTTTGTCAGTATATAAAAGGAGACTACTCTTCAAATGGTTTCTGAAGTACTCAAAATCAATGTGTAATGTATACCATCTGTGAAAGGCTGTAAAGCAATTAGCTGTGGAGGCACCCTTGAAGCTCCAGGAGAGGCAGGGATAAAACAAATTATATCTTGCCAGACTGCACATTTGAAGCAGTAAGAAGCAACATTAAAAAAATATATATAAGAAGATAAAAATTAATTCAGATACTGTGTTTTATCTTAGCTGGACACATACAGCATTTGAATGCTTTCATTTCCAGAAATATCTCTCACATGAAGTTACCTTTTTGGAAGCAAATATAAAGGTAAAAATGGACTCCTGATCT